CACCTTATAGTTATAACTCATACTAAATATCAACCAGGAATCATATGGTAAGATTTTAATGTTGTTTTGTTTAACATATAAACAGAAATTACATTACAATTTCAAAAAAGCAATCAAGTCATTGATGTCTTTTCCTGGTCCTGATCCCCTCCCCTTTTCTAAGAAATAAAGGCATAAAGGCTGAAAATATATATATTTTTAAATAAATAAATTATATAATAAAATGTCTTCTTTTCAAAATAAATTAAAATACTTTTTAATGTAATTTTCTGTTGGTAACAGCTTGTGTAGTTATAAATTCTGATAATGTCCATTGTCCTATCAAATAAAGACAAAAACATCCAAATAAATAAATGCTGATAAATACTTGCATGCATGCATGCATGCCTTTTCTAATTTTTAGAGATAATTTAAAAATCTATATTTATGCAATTTTAGATACCTTATGTAATTAGTTTTTAAGGAAATAAAACATAATAACAGTTGCATTTAGGCAATTTGTGTGGATGGAGGTCAATTTCTGCAACAGTGCTCTTTACTCATCTCACACTTCACAACAATACACCGCTCTTTCCTATTTCCATCCCATCAAATGTCTCAAGCTATAAAACCAACCAATATCAAACTAAATGCAGTTATCAAATAACAGCTTCTAGCCTATGTTCCTCATACTGCTTCAGTTTGATAGGAAGCAACTGGATGAGTCTATTTTTCACCGACAGTATTGATTGCTTTTAGTCTAAAAGTGACTCATTGTAATAATGCCGCTTTAATAATATTAAAGATAATGCTAAATTATATCCAGTATAATGAGAGTTAAAAGGAACACATTTCTGGTTTGGGGTTGACGAAGGGGTACTTGAGGCTTACTGATAGGGCTGAGCGCGTACTGTACATAAACAAGACAAAAAAACATCGGGAAAAACCATTGTAAAGCATTTATCAGTGGTAAAAGCTGTATTTGCATATGAAATGCAGTGTAAGATAAAACGAAGCACAAATGGTTTAATGAAAAACTACAGTGTGGATTACAGACAAAACTCTTATATGCAAAACCTAATCAAGACGAGTACATCAACAATTGCTATTGAAGAATTTGTGCCTGCATTTAGCAGTTATTACAATGACCTTGCCGTAATTAATAGGTATTAGACATAAACAGTGAAAATTAAAGGTCACCTTCATAACCACTGATCCGTCATTTCGGCTAGCATGTTTAAGGCACGCTTTAATATGAATGACGTTAATCAAATTAAACTTTCGCGCAAACTTCAGGAATGGCACGGAAAACACTGCAGGAACAACACACAGAGCAGCGCGTTAGAATTGCTTCTGTGAGCTCAGCAGGGCACTGGGAAAATGGTAAATTTCAGGAGAAATTTAATAAGGAGAAATTGGCTTAAGATTACTCAGCACTTTGCTTCTAGTCTCCCTCCTACCCTTCAAATTGCACGAGTTGCTTTCAGAGTGATACAACATTGTGACATAATTACATTGTTGAAGGTGAGGCTCAGTAGAAATGGCTCCGTGCTGACACAAGACGATTTTCCAGCACATGCAAATTTACAGACGGCTGCGCTTCTCTGCCATTTGAGGGACTAGGCAAAACGAAAAACCGTTTGCATGTTGACAAAATGTTGCTGATTGCGATCCACAATTAAAACAAAAGGGTCATTGTGACTTTAATCCAAAAGCCGTCCTTAACAACAGACGTTATGAACTGTACCTACGCACAAATCATTCCCAAATCATACTGGCTTAATTAAGCCGTCTGATTGATGGTCTGATCGTCCCATCGGGAACGTCCATTGAGAGGATATTGAATAGTTGTCTATTCCAATGTTTAGCATATTTTCATAACTACGTGACAAGCGGCAATATCGCAGCAAAGTCGTCCTTGGGGTGTAAGCAGCTGCGTCCCACCCAAAATTGCATGAGCGAGCAGAGGAAACGAAAGAAATGAAACTTGAAGCGTTGATGAGAACTCGTCGGCTGTGGTTGTAAACAGCTGTGTGCTTTGAGTTCTATCAATAACCTCTCGGTTACAAGGGTCGGTAATTAAAAGGCTAGTGACCTGGAAATAGTGTCCTCGTTCGAAGATCTCCAAATGTCCGCATAAAAAATACAACATCAAATTAGAATAGCAATAGCACGAGGCTGAGTCTTCCAGCTATAGATCTATTGATGTTCAAACACACCCTGGGGGCACATTGCCATGATAGTCCTGAGTTCACAGTGTTCCCCATTATAACCTGGTTTCGCTGTTCGGAGAGGTCAAAGTCAATCTAAATATACATTATACACACAGACAAAACAGATACATGTATGTAAGAATTATAAATAATACAAACACAATAGGGTCCAAAAGTCTGTGAACATCAGGATTTACATGAACTTGGGAAATTCTTGCAGCTTGAATAGCATTTCAGCAAAAAGAGGACACATCAAATTGTAATAAATATTACAATTCATGTTAATTTTTTTCCTCAAATTGTTACGCTGATAAAATAAAATAATGTAATTTTAAAAAACAGAAATTAAAAAGTAATTAGAAAAGTATGAGTTTTCTAGACTTTTTTAAATAATATATTATTTCTATAATTTATTAATAATTAATATAAATTATATATTGTTTATTATTATATTTATATATTCGATCATTCATAATTTAATAAATAAATACTATATTATTTGTATAATTTTATGAATAATTAATATATAATTTGTATATTAATATATTATTATTATTATTATTATTATTATTATATTTATTTATATATTTGTTCGTTCGTTCATTCATTCCAAACTCCGTCTCTGAACATGTTTATTATAAATAAATAAATGTATATTTATTTAGTTAGTTAGTCATATTGTATGTTTGAAGAGAGAGAATCTTTTTCAGAAAGCATAATGAAATGTTGTGTTCATGTGGATTATAGGGACCCATTGAACACTACTGACTTTTAGTTGGCATGGGGGGTTGACTTATTATGAAACAGCGGCACACTGGCATATTAATACTTAATGTACCAGTAGACCCCTTTGAGAAATCCATGTGAACCTCCAAACACCCTTGTTACAAAAAACAAATACGATGCATATCGCTCAAAACCTGCAAATCCCTGGATCTGGATACAATTTCACATTCACATTCAAAAGAACCACATTTCATCATAAACATGCAGCATATTAAGCCGCATAACCCAGCTGTGAATTATAAATGAAGCCGATCTACTGCTAACGAGAAGCACTGACCGAGGAAAATGCTAAAGATATTGAGACGTCATAATAGGCCACTGATGTGAACAACAGCAGCCAGCAACTATGGATTTTATCTCCAGTTACCTACACCGGTCATGGAGCTATTAGGCTCGCTTTCCACTGCTGCTCTACTAGCACCATCGAAGGCCAAATCCACCTGCCTTTACCATTAATTAGTCCCGACATAACAAATTTCATTTCAAATAAGAGCTAAAAGGAAAAAAAGCCACATCTGATAAGCACACCTGTGCTAAGAAGATTTACAATTATCAATAGCGTGCAGAGACAGATGAGTTATCGCGTTATAAAGGACAGTACTGACCTTGCTAAACTTAAATGTAATCAAGATAAAACTAATCTGACCGTTGTGAAGGACTATATTTTATTTTAAAAAATGATATGCATTTCAGCGCCGAAGTGATCGTTATTTTATGTGACTGATTTTAAAGTTTTAAGACCTGCTTGCAAAACACTCAAATAAGCCATAAAGTGAGACAGATTACATTGTGCTTCTCGATTTCCATCACTGCCGCCCCCAAAGTGATTCACTAAAACATCACAATGTCATTCTCAGTGCTGGGTTTTTAAAAAAATCTCTCGAAAAAGATCAAAATACAGCGTACGGATTGATTTCTTTCCAGCACACACTCAGGCCGGTGATCTGATCTGAAAGGGGTTTGTGCTATAGGAGAGATAGTGGTGGGTTATGCATCAAACACACATATTGATTGATACCTAAACTGCTCTGAATTTAGAGTGAATGCATATGTATGCTCACAACACGTTACTTCTCTGGTCGATAAAACTTTCCGATGCATTCCAGTGCTTTAATATTTATGATAACAGCTAAATTAAGTAAAAGCTTTAAAATGCTGGGAGGTAGCATAATTGACAATTCCATTGAAAGTGCAGGAGGGTTTGTCAATATTAATTTTCTGGATCCCAAAGAAGCGTCCCAACTGATAGGTCATTTATCCACACAGCTGGGATCAAGCTCTCTGCAGCCCGATCGACCCTTACCTGACCCTCCAGGGCATGCAACAATGGCCTCGACCTCTGACCCTTAAAAGCGAATGATCTCATCCCGTGAAAATCTTGGTCCAAAGTCCACTGGACTACATTCTGCTCCTAAAGCTGAGCTGTCTTTAAAGGGATAGTTCATCCAAAAAAAATGACAGTTGTGTCATTATTTACTCTCCTGAAACCTTTCTTTCTTCTGTCAAACACGTATAGCAGAATGTACAAGCTGCTCTTTAAGTAGATGATGACCATGGCTGTCAAACAGTGAATATTCAGTGAATAACAATTTAAATGTCTGCCATTTTGTCACATAAACATATAATATGGTTTCAGAAGACTTGGAATCCAGTCATACCTCACTTAAGCTGCTTCTTTGTCCATTTTGGAGCTCAACATCATCAGTCCTCCTTTACTTTTCATTGTAAATGAAAGTAAAAAGAGTAGCGTGAACATTCTTCACAGCTTCTCTTTTTGCATTCTACAGAATAAATCATAAGAATTTGGAATTTTGGACACAAGGATGTTTAAAAGTTTTTAATTTTGGGGCAAACTGGCTCTCTTTACTACGCCGATTCCACTCATGTTTGAAATGAATAACGAAAGCATTCGGCTGGTTAAATTTAAGGTCAAAGTCTTGGAATTGAGCCATCTCGTATCCATTCCGCCTGTAAAAATGTAACATTTTACATTAGGTTCTGGAACATGCTGATGACGCTCACCTTTTTTCTTCAAGAACACTTTTCTGGTCGCCAGGGGGCTTTGACGAACTTGCTGGTTTTGTAGAAACTTGACTGCCGTGGCAATCTGCGAGGAGAGCAAAAAACAAAGACATCTTACATTTGTAGCATGAAATGAGCTCATCAGTGTAATAGAAAGTCATCAGTAAATTAACTTCACTGGAAATGAGAGGAAGACTCGGGAATTCTTGCAAGGCGGCTGAATTATTGTACATTTCCAACTCCCCAAGGTATATCATCAGCCAACAACAGGAACTTATAAAATAGCCCTCCCCCTCCCAAGAAGTATATGGAGGCCAGACCACCAAACCACTTTAGACATAAATCTAGGAAATGAGTGAATCAGCAGTTATAAAATTATCCCATCAAGGTTTGCTGAACAAATGGGGTATGGAGTTTAATTTGCCATTATCCTCTTTAAGACAAACTCCTAGCCTTAAGTGAGCAGGGACTGAAAATCTATACTTAATGCTGAAGTGCCCGTCTGTATCTAATAACGGCACAATACCTGGTTAAAAACTTCAGCGATTCTTAAAGAAGAAAATGCATTATGATCAAATCACCTAGGCTGCATGTTGTAATGACTGAGTGTTAATGCACTAGAAAATTAAATATCATCAGAACACGTGTAGTCGGAAGTGCAGCGCAGCTCCCATCGATTCCATCGCGTTTTCCTTCGAGATGCACCTTGATCTGCCACTTTAGCTTGCTTCTCCTAGAATTAAAAAAGGGTCTCCTCCTCAAACCCCATTATGGCATGAATTTGAAGTGCGGGCTCTGAAGTGGTGCTTTTAAAGAACAGATAAACATGAAATAACATCTGGAGATAGGTGGAAACGCATACTCAAGGATAGAGCCGAGCCGCCTCGTTATCGCACCTGTGGTCCCTGTGATTCAATTGTAAAAGTCATCCCTCTAATAGGTTGAAAGGTTTTGATTACTGTTCTTTTTCTTTAAGCAGCAAAAGATAAAAAGTGATTGAGAGCACTGTCTGTGGTAATCCGTTTTAGGTAATGCATTGCATATACTAAAGACCTGTTTCAATCCAAAAGGATTGCATTTTGAAAATAGGCTGAGAAGAATGTGTAATAGTCGGGCCAGCTGTATAATTCTGCGGCGACAAATCAAGACAGAGTGAGTAGGGGACCCGGTTTTCCTTTCAAAAACACATCATATTGATTTCAGCTTAAATTTATGGGGAACAACTTTGACTTTGTTGGATGAAGAAGGAAGACGAAAAGGGGGGCACTGCCGATTTAGGGAACGGCATGAGATTATGATTCCGATAATTGGAATAAGCAAGCAGGCAGGCCGCATTTGTCTTCAAATATATATATATACGACTGAGTCAGTGTCTGCAAAGAACGCGACCTTAGTCACACCTGGTTTCAGAACACATCAGGCACAACGTTTTACGGTAACATGATCTTTGCAAAGCTGTTACCCAAAGGGTAAGGACATTTCTGGATCTCTATATTAGTGTCAGGAGTTAACCTTTTTTTAACATTTACAAGGGGGTATTTTTTTCTAACTATCAATAAAAACACTTTATGTTATCCATTTGTCAAACAGTTTATTTTGCCATTTTAAAACTGTTTGTACATGCCATTGTTTCACACCAATAGTTTGTTCAAACCTCAATATGCATAATAATTTTTACCTATAAATTCAATAACACATTTATATTTTGCATTATGCAAAAATAGCTTGGCCTAAAATGTAAAACAAAAAAAGAATCATTAAAAACATCATTGGAAACAACAACAAAAAGTAATCACATTTTTTGCCATACATTTTCACTTTCTGTGGTATTTTTCTCATTTTCGGTGCCATTTGTGCCCATGGGAACCTATTACTTCTGACCGTGCTATATATAAGCTTAAAGCATAGTGAATTTAGTCACCTAGAAACTTAATGACAAGAAAATTGCAAAGTCTACATAGTCAAACACACTAAAAACACTCCCACTTCATAAATGAACAAGTTCAGCTCAGTTCTGGGAAGTCTTCAAACCTGAATCGCAAGTTAAAATTAGTATCTGAATGGAGGAGGTTTTTGAGTTGTTGTACAATGACATAATAAGTGCCTTTTACAATCCAGAAATGCTCTTTCCCCGCTCTATAAACACCATGTAAACTGCATAAACCATCATATTCTTTATTCACTGCACAGAAACGATGTCAGGCACGTTACGCGTACAGTAAATCACATTTTACAGGAAAAGAAAATTCTCAATTGAGTCACCGCCAGCGAAAAAAAAAACAAGTGCGGGGATGTTTCATTTAAGATTATACAAGACAAAGGGGTCGAAATCGCGGCTCCTCGGCTTGAAATACGACTCCTTTTTGTGATTGAGACTAGCTTTTACTTGGATGGAAGGGGCACGGCATTCTTGTAAACACTTCTCTAAAAGATGGGATCAAAGTGGGATAACAAATGAGGGCGATGTCCATTTATTTTTCAAGAGTGTTACGTCTGTTCTTCAGGGAGAAGAAAAGTGCTTTTCTTTGCAGATGACACGGCTGCTTTATGCAAGTTCCACCCAGACATCTCAATCAATTATAACCACATTGCACAGATTTTAGTCTTGTCTACTTATTGACGTATAGATCACCCTCGTTGTCGTATAAGGTAGCAGCATGTGATTGTGCTTTTAAGGGGGAGAGCTGTATCACTGCATGTCAGTACAAGGCACATTTGGTTTGGCAAGCAAAATATTAACTCAAATTAAAAAGGTGGGTGCGTGTTTCTTTGCTGAATACCAGTAAATACTCTTTGTTAATCAACCATTATTTTCTAGTGTTTCTTGTAAGGCTAAAATTGCTAATGCACGGAAAGTGCTCCCTGTTCTAACCAATAATCTTTACAAATGAGATGAATGATCAAGTGTCAGGTGCAACCTAAAAAGTGGTGAAAACTCAATCATAGGGCCAAGCAACATTAAGGGCCATGTCTGGAGACATGCCTGCTGTGAACATGATGACTGGACAAGGTCTTGCAAATCGCGCCGTGTCGGTTATTGAGTTTGGATCGGACCGAGTTTTAACAGAGCACTTTTGCCTCACGCTCGCCTTAAATTTGGAGGAGGTGGTCGTTCCCCTTAACGTGATGATATTGATCGGGAAGGAAACATAAATGTCCTATTAGGGAAGCCAAATTTTAAGAGCCAACCTCGTATGATGCTTTCTTCATGTTAGTCTCTGTTAAACAAGTTAAAAGTTCAATATCTGGTCTATAGAACAGGACGAACAGGACGAATTTAGATAAATCACCACATTTTTAGGGTAAGAGTAAGATAAATTCAGGTACACTTTTTGACATTAATGTCAAAAAGTGTACCTGAATTTATCTTACTCTTACCCTAAAAATGTCATTTTAAGAATAACCCGTGAATTCTGATCAGATTATTTATTTTTCCTTTTTTAAAAGCATAGCTCATAAGAAATAAATTCTAAACTAAAAATTAAAGAGGAAGTTTGATATTTGCTATCTAACTAGCAGATATGAGAAGGAAGACTTCCTTAGCAAACAGGTCAAACAGGGAAATACATTTTTGCTCAAGGCAACACACTTTTACATAAAATATTAAGCCAAACACCATTAAATCAGTTGTAGATGGAGGAAAAAAGACTATTTTAACATCACAAAAGTGGTCAAAGATGCCAAAAGTGCCTTAAACTGTGTGTGGAAAGGTAGGGATACATCTATTTTATATGTATATATATTACATATATATATTCTTTGGCAATGCATTTGTCGAAAGCATAATCAGGCAAAAAATAGTTGTGCATAGCAACAAACATCATTTAGAAAAGTATTGTGGTGGTTATTTCTATTAGAAAATAAAACAAAATCAACAAAGACTTTTACCCTGTAGGTACTTCAGGCCCAAATCATGCCCCAACTTTGAAGAGGGCCGTATAAAGATGTAAAATGAATTTATAGACCAAAATGCGTGTCTAACTGTACACGAGTCTGATGTTAGACTACAGGACTGTTGACAGTAATGACTGCTCCGTGAGAAAGGACAAGATCTACAGCAGCAGAAGGTGGGGGCCATCAGTTGGCACTTAAAAGGAAAGGGTAAAGGAAGCTAAAAGGAAATCATTAGCAGGTCTGGGGATCCAGTCTCAGCGTGAATCAATTCATTTCAAATTGCCCTGTACATTTGTGAAGAAGCACCCCTGATATAATAAAGGCCTAATAGACACCGATCCAATTGTGTTAGGTTGGTTTCAGATTCCTACAAAACAATGGTTTCAGAAGAAGAGAGAGGGAGAAAGAGATGGTAGTCGACTTTCTATATTAATTAACCTCTCTCGTGAATGTTTCCATGACATAGATGGATATCTAGGACGCTTTAAGCGCTCCGACTCTATGAAATTGCAACGTGGGTTTCCATGCAGTCAGATTCCTTTCAACTCCTGATGGGTTGATGCACAAAATGGTGTTTTTAATCTTTTATAATTAGATCTTAAAATGCCCTTCTAATTATGACAACTTCCGCTTTAAATGACCTTTATCGAGGAGAGCCCACTGAGAACAGTCGAGCATGAACCGTGTGTGCATGAGAGAGCGAGAGTTCATCTAAAACAGCAGTAAGAAATCAATTCTTACTGATCAACTCCACACCCACACGACACAGACAGTACATACATCAATAAACCTTTACCATCCTTCATAAAGTAGCGTTTTAGCCCAGTTTTGCTCTCTTTTCATTGGGATTTCTGGAAGATTTGATCTTCTATGGCTGCCCATAAAAGTACAGTTCACCTAAAAATGATAATTCCATTTTAAACCCGTTTCTTCTGCAGAACAAGGAAGATTTTTTTGGGGGGGGGGATCCAATATTTTGCAATAAAACTCTTAAAACAGTGGGGTCTGAAACAAAACAAAAAATACTAAGACATTTTTCAAAATATTTTTTTTTTTCCACAGAAGAAAGAAATCCATACCGCTTTGGAACGACACGAGGGTGAGTAAACGATGACAGAATTTTTATTTTTGGGTGAACTATCCCTTTAAAATGTTCTGCCTGCCCCTCATCATAATCACAAAAATCTTAGC